TTGCTTTCCCGCAGCAGTTTAGCTTTGTTATTGTAATGACTGTTCTGTCTCTTTAAGAGGCAAGCCACGCCCACTCCCTCCCCCATCTGCTGAGGCAGGCAGGTCTTCCTTCCTGCTTGTAGCCTTAGCCATGTCTTCCCCTCCCTCACTGTGTTCTTCTTCCCTTCTCCCTTCCCTTCCAGAACCACTAAACAAATATCCAACTTCACTCTGCATGGCCTGTCTATCCATCTGTCTCTCACCCGCTACCAACACATGGCTCACCGCCAGGAACCACTCACCTTCAGAGACCAGAGACCTGCCTTGCGGTCTTGTGCACAGTCCCTACCTGGGACTGGCACCAGCTGCCTGCCACCAGCCTGTAGCATCTCTGCTGCCTGACTCAGCCAGGGATCCTCAGCAATTTTTAATAATCCATTACAGTTATCCCTTTGCCTCTCTGATACCATATTTCCTGGAGAGGAGGCTTTTTGCCTTCTCATTATTCTTAGGTGTTATCCATTTAATTAACATTTATGACGTTCAATAAGTATTGATGGGAATAAATTCTTCAGTGAGTGAACAAACACAGCTTAGTTCTTATGAGCATAAATGTTTTCTTGAGCTCACATAAATCTGTTAGGAAAAATCTTAAGAGGGCCTCTCAGCCAAAACAAAAATAACTCCAATTAGACCAAATTAGACCAAATCAAAGATGCCCATGTTTAATGAATGCAGCGCTCCCGGGTGGTTGGGAGCAAGGCAGGGGGAAGACAGAGAGGGAGAGACATGCAAAACCCACAACCATGTGTTCCTTTGCAAGCCTAAATAGCCTGTGTGAGTGGTCCTGACCTTCCCTGGGGAGGGGTCAACCCTTGGTGGGCTCTCCTGGAGGTGGAGTTCAGTCCAAGGCAACTCCCAGGGGGAGGAGCCCAAGATGGAGCTTTCTACTATGTTGGCGCCACAGGGATGAATGCCAGGGGCTGGGGTGATGCCCCCAACTTAATATTACATCCCAGACTCTAGATATAGGGGTGTTAGAGGGCTTTCAATCAAACAGAATCTTTTGATCAAAACATACCTTCTTGAGCTGGGCCTGATACACACCTGTAGCCATAGCACTTGGGAGGCTAGGGCAAAGAGGATTGTGAGGTAGAGTTTGGCTATATAGTTACAGCAAGTTCCTGTCTCAAAAAAGAAACAAACATCTACTCATAGTCCCCTGAACTAAGCAGTTACTTTGCCATCTCTGTGACTTTGCTCATACAAATTGTGCAGTCTATAGAATACTTCACACTTTTCCCCCTTGATCATCCAGGAATAACGCTTTCCTTTAAGGATAAGACCCACCTCCAGTCTGAGCATTCTCCTAATGACCCAGCACATCAGTGACCCACTGTCACCCTCTGTGACTTTTAGAGTCTCTACCTAAGCATGTACCCAAAACATGTTTACTGCATGTTTTAATAATAACAGCAAATACTTAGTTTTTGTTTTGAGAAAGGGTTCTGAGATGTGGCCCAGTTTGGCCTTGAGTTCATAGGCTGGGAAGATCTTCCTGTTTCCTCCTGTGCTGGTCTCCTGATAGGGGGACTACAGACTCAAGCCACTGTATTACAGACATATGTATCTGTTTCATGTGTATTTTTCTATCAATTCCTCATTTTATACTACTAGAAGCTCTCAATTTCTACCATTGGTTAGATTTTTAACTTTAAAACCACCATTATTGCCAGGCAGTGGTGGCGCACACTTTAATCCCAGCACTCACTTGGGAGGCAGAGACAGGAGGATCTCTGTGAGTTCGAAGCCAGCCTGGTCTAGTTCCAGGACAGGCTCCAAAGCTACTGTCTCGAAAAACCAAAAACCAAACAAACAAACAATCCCCCCCCCACATAATTATCATCATAAAAAATGTAAAGCATTCTTTAAAAACTTGTATTGATTGTAATTTAGTAAAAAGCTATTAAAATATGAAACCTGGGCCTGAAGAGATGGCTCACAGTTAATTAAGCTCTTGTTAGCTAGGCATAGTGGCACACATCCTTATCTCTGCACTTGGGAGCTGAATTAGGCAGATCTCTGTGAGTTCCAGGATAGCCTGGTCTACACAGAAAGTTCCAGTATAGCCAGGACTACATAGAGAGACCCTGTCAGAAAAAAAGAAAAAACAAACAAAAAAACAAAAAAAAAAGCTATAGGACCTCGGTTGGATCCCCAGCAGCTACGTGAGAGCTCACAACTGTCGATAACTCATTCCAGGGGGCCTGTCGCCCTCTTCTGGCACATGGTGCACAGATTCATGTATACACAAAATACTCATGCACAGCAAATAAACATTTTTTTAAATGAAAGTAGTATCTCCATCAAATTTAATGGTAGAGTAATGTTTGTATGTCCCTATATAAGTTTCCCAGTATAAACAAAGTTGGGTTTGCCTATGGCTGCTTGCTGTTCTACCATGGCTCGCTCTGTTTTCAAAGGCAAACGTCATAGTGCACTCCAGGACACCTGTGTTCACACCATTGGCTCTTTGAAACTATATTTGGATGTTCAAGCTATTAAAAGCTTCATGTACTTAGTGACCTTTCAGGCAGAATTTAGATTGGACATTCCCATTGCTGCTGCCTGTTGCTGAGTGGGAAACAGCGGAAAATCCAGCATCTCAGCCTCTCTAGGGTTTTCATCTTGCTTCCCTTACTTTAAAGAAGATGAACCCTGAAACCACAGCCCTGATATCCTTGAAGGAGGCAATGAAAAGGTGGCTCCGGGTTCCAGGGAGGGACTAAGCCAGGGTCTGCTGTTGTCAGACGGGAGTGAAGAATGGAGGTAGAGATAAGCAAAGAACACAGACACGCTGATTAGAACTGTGTCTGCCAAAGTGCTTCAGAGCAGATTCAAAAATATCTAACTAATAATAAAGAAAACTCTGGGGAGGGGGTTGAGTTTAGCCTGGTAGTAGAATGTTTGTGTGGTTGAAAGATCCTGGTTTTTAAATCCTCTGCATGTGCATTTGTACACACGCACACACGCGCACGTGCACCCCCCCACACACACATCAAGAAAAAATTCTTTAATATGCTAAAACTCCATTCAATTGATGCTAGATTTACAGAAATTAGTAAAATGTGGCTGTTACCCTCAAGGAGCTCATAGCCTATAGGAATAGTAGAATTGTTTTTTTTAAAAAAATACAGTTTCATACACGTGACCTTATACTGGTGATGTTCCAAAAAGACTAAAGAAGGGATCAATCTATTTTGCCTAAGAAAGTGGCTCTTCCCAAAGGGTACTTTAGCTGGGTCAAGGCATCTGAGTGAGTTATGAGGAAATAAATAGTGGAGGGATTTTACAGTGAGGAAACTACATTTTGGCCTCACGACAGGTTGGAATTACAGATTAGCAACTAGGACGTGTGAGGCATTATGCTTGTGGCTGAGGAGATCCATTTGTCCCTAAAGTCAGGTGGTAGAAAAGATACATTTTTAACTGAGTTAGTTACCACAATAGGGTGGAGAGATGGCTCAGCGGTTAACTGAGCCAGCAACTCTGGCTGCTCTTCCCAGCAACAACATGGTGGCTCACATCCATCTTTAGTAGGATCTAATGCCCTCTTCTGGCATGAAGGTATATATGCAGATAGAGCACTTATATACAGAAATAAATCTAAATCACAACAGGGTTTTAGAGAAGTGTGTGAAGGATGAATTGGAGACTGGAGCAAGGACCCAGTAAGATTTCCTGTAGTCCTAGGACCTGTGAAAGGTGATGGACTGGCTTACTGGGGATAACAAACATGAGATGGGTTACATAGACAGCAGTTGTCTGGGGAAGGGCTGAGAATCATTTTTAGATTTCTAATTCAAACAGCTGAGTAAACTGCGGGGCTGTTAGCTGGGCTAGGGAATTGTCATAGGAAAGATTACACTCGGATTTACTTTTTTTTTTTTATTTTTCGAGACAAGGTTTCTCTGTAGTTTTGGTGCCTGTCCTGGAACTAGCTCTTGTAGACCAGGCTGGCCTCGAACTCACAGAGATCTGCCTGCCTTTGCCTCCCGAGTGCTGGGATTAAAGGAGTGCGCCACCACTGCCCGGCTTACATTTTTTAATTTAAAAATTGTTTTCAGATTTATTTATTTTGTGTGTACCCATATGTGCCTGGTGCCCTCAGAAGTCAGAAAAGGGTATTGGATCCCTACAACTGGAGGTATTGACAGCTATGAGCTGTCCACCAGGTGGGGGCTGGGAGTTGGAACCCAGGTCTTCTAGAATAAGCACAAGTATTCACTAAGCCATTTCTCCAACACTTTGTTTTTGTTTTTAAACAGGGTTTTGTTTGTTTGTTTGTTTGTTTTTGTGTAGTCGTAACTGTTCTGGAACTAGTTCTGTAGACCAGGCTGGCCTCAAACTCACAGAGATCTACTTGCCTCTGCTTCCCAAGTGTTGGTATTAAAGGCATGCCCCACTACCACCCAACTCTAATATATAATAAATATATTTTTTATGTGATAGGGTGGGGTTGTACATGTCACAGGCATCCATGTGGAAGTCAGCAAGACTTGAAGGAGTTGATTCTCTTCTTCCACCATGTGGGGCTAAGGGATTAAAGTTAGGTCACCAGGCCAGCAGCAAGCAACTTTACCTGCTCAGACGTCTGTACATTCTCTTTAGACATTTATCAGAGTGGTCTGCGTGTCTTTTGGCAGGATATTCCAAAGGATTTCTGCAATTTTAAACTGTTATTGACAAGCTAGAGTTCATCTCTAGAGTTCAAGCCAGAAATGCTCTACAGCATTATAGTTTAAAGTCTAAAAGTTAAAGGCAGTCAAGTGGCATAGTTGACTTGAAAGCAGAGGTTGCTGCATAGAAGCCGCACTGGCTGCATGCTCCTATAAAACACACATTCCATGCCAACTTTTATCTAGGTGTACATTGGAACCAAAACTGAGAGAAAGTTCCTCCATCGTAATTTCTGAAGATGGAGGGGAGAGTTCATAAAGTTAAGCTCAGGACAGTTGGGTATGATGCTCCTGTCGAGGGAGGAAATGCACATAACAGACGAAAGTGTACATCTGAGAGAAACTCGGTCACTGTTGGGAGAAACTGAGGACCAAGGGAAGATGCTCAAGGACATAATCTGGGGCAGCCACAGAGTGTTGAGGTCACTGGAGAGGTAACTGCCTCCTATCCCTTTCTTCATCAGAGACGATGTGGTGCTTTCAGGCCAGCGGGTTGTCACTCCAGCCCTTCCTGGTTCATCTAGGTAGAGTCGCAGTGCTCCAGGGCCCCTGGTGATCAGCGCTGCTCCGAGCTGCTACAGTCCCCATGTGATGATGGCTCAACAGCTCCTGCTCATCACAGGGGCCAGGTGTATGAGCCTCCTCTGGTAGGCCTCTGCTAGCTATGAGGGGACAGAAATGATATCTCTAAGAAATGACCATGGATCTCTGTATAGAATTTATACTTTATGCAATGTAAACTAAAACAAATGTTGGGCGATACAGGGAAGGATTGCCCAGAGAGTGGATTTAAGAAGACAGTGGAGGGCTGGACATAGGTCAGTGGTAGAACTCTTGCCTAGAAGGTACAAGGCCTTAAGCTCAATCCCCAGCACTATCAACACACACACACACACACGACAGAATTTGAGCTGATCCTTGAGGTAGAAATGGTTCTGCAAAGTCAACAGGGCCAGCTACTTTATTAATGTTTATCGGTTCTAGCACGATTCATTTAAGTGATAGTCTTTTCCAAACTCAATTTATCTATAAAGTGGAAGAACCAGGACTTGTACAGCTCTAACCAAAAAAGTGAAAATGGGGCTGGTGACATGGTTGAGCTGGTAAAGGCACTTGCTACCCAGGTCTTACTGGCTGAGTTCAAACCCCAAGACCCGCATAGTTGAAGGAGAAAATAACTCCTACAGGTTATCCTCTGGCTTGCACCCATGCACTCCAACCCCTCCCTCCACACAGAAAATAAATCCATCTTTAAAAAGCAACAACCGAAGCTTCACTTACAGTCATGAGAAATAATGCTTGTTGATACTCTGTGAACCACAAAGTATTGCATAAGACATGGAAACAGCTAACTAGATGATCCAGAAGTCGGACAATATGAAGAGCAAGATCAGAGGAGGCCTGGCCAATGGGAACCCTGTTCACATTTAACTCTAAGTCCCCATCTACATTTGGTAGGGCTGTAAGTAATCTATTACAGTCTTAGGTTTACCCTGGCCTGGACTTAACTTTGATTCTTTAATCCTGTAGAGTAGACAACAAGCTCCAAGCTCTAGATGCACAGTTCAAAGAACTAGACATTGCCAAGGACAATCTGATACAGCAATTTGAACACCATAGCCAGACTTTGGCAAGCCAAGCTGACCAGGATGAGATATGGACAGCAGTTCTGGCCCTCAGGTGAGCAATAATTGAATCCTGGCTTTTGTGGCTTTGTGAGAGCTTTCAGCGGCCATTCCAAACTGAATTTAGTATGTCCCAAAGGTATTACTCATGCTTGGGCTCCTTCATTCACAAAAGGTTGATCTGAGCACTGTTTTTATGCCCAGCACCACAGTGCCCACCTTGTGAATCTGTTACCTGCCGGTTTTATTGGCAGGAATGAGTAACAGAATTCCCTCACCATGGGAGGCTCGTTCAATGGGTGGCCTGAGAGCTCAGCTCTGCAGTTTGGTGCGGGCTGTATTTCTGAAATGGATAGCTGGTTTCCTAGTGGGTTTACATTGAGCCAACCTAACCAAATGTAACTTACATTTATACACTAAATATTCAATTTAAGGAGCTTTCCACATTTTTTCATAGGTTCACCTCAATGGAACTGAATATTTTATACAGCTATGTCATTGAAGTCCTTATTTGCTTGCACACTCGAGTGCTTCAGAAGCTTCCAGACCTGGTGAGAAGTCTTCCGACCTTAGCCTCTGTCCTTAGAAGAAAAGTCAAGAACAAGCATGTTAGAACTGTGTGGGAGTCAGTTCTGGAGGAGTATGGGCTGCAAGAGAGAGACGTCACAGCGCTCTGTACCTTCTTCCTTGCGCATGGCGACAAAGCAGAACATTATGCAGCTAATGTACGACAGATGTACATCAAAGATGTTACGTTCATGATCACCAACATGGTAAAGAACCAGGCTCTGCAGGATGGTTTGCTGCGGGCTGTTCAGGTCATTGAGAAGGGGAAAGCAGTGAGGACCCCTGAAAACCAAAGAGCATCCCTAAAAGAGTTGATACCATCAGCCAAGGATTAACCTGTTACCCTATGGCCCAGCAATTTCACTTTCAGTCGTTTGTATCGCAAAAACAAAAACATGAATAATTTAGTGTAAGCTTATTTTATAGCAAAAGTGGGGGGTGCACTAAAGAAATTATGACAAGTTGATACAGTGAATATTTTGTGTGTAGCCATATTAAAAAATAAGCAAACTTTTTATAGTAAAATAGAGTCTGGGGCAACAATGCGGACACTAAGAGAGACTTACATAGATATAATCTACATGGGAAGTAGAAAGTATAAAAAGACAAGATCTCCTGAGTAGATTGGGAGCATGGGGACCTTGGGGAAGGATTGAAGGGGGAGGGGAAAGGCAGGGAGGGGAGCAGAAAAAAATGTAGAGCTCAATAAATATCAATAAAAAATATTTAATAAAAAAAAGAAAAGAGGGGCTGGAGAGATGACTCAGAGGCTAAGAGCACTGGCTGCACTTCAAAAGGTCCTGAGTTCAATTCCCAGCAACCACATGGTGGCTCACAACCATCTGTAATGAGATATGGTGCCCTCTTCTGGCCTGCAGGGACATATACAGGCAGATCACTGTATACTTAATAAATAAATAAATCTTTAAAAAGAAAAGAAAAGAAATAGAATCTGGGGATGTAGCCCAGAGGATATGCTTCGTATATAGAGGTCCTGGGCTCAATCCCTGATACTGCAAACATAAATATGAAAGAAATTTATATGAAATCATCTCTCAGATTTGGTGGTGTTTTGTTTAAATATTTAATGTTAAGTATAAAGGGGGCAAAACCAACTATATATACGTATATATTACCTATGATATTTTTTAAAGATACTGTATATTAGTTTAAATTTACACTTCTGCAGTAATACTTCAGTTATTTTTTTTTTTTTTTTTTTGCGGTGGTGTGGGGACTAAAAGGCCAAAAGCCAAAGGGAATAAATACTTTTCACTGGATAGTGGAACCTGTCCTCCAGATACAGCATGGCATCACTGTCGTGAATCAGACATTGTGATCAGCCCTAGGACATGTCCATGAGATCAGGCCTATTGCCAGTTCCTCATGGAAGGGAAAGGGCAATGTTACTTTCCCTGAGATTCCAGCCCCAGCCACAAGCCGTACACAATCTTGCTCTGCCTGGTCTTAGGGATGCTGGAGTATACAGGAGGTGGACAGTTGACTGTTGTCCTCTGTTTTTATTCTTTGCTCTTACTCTTCGCTCTTTTCTTTCTGTCTTTGGCTCTTTTTTTTTACTCTTTTGGGGAGCCTGCCATTCAGCTCCCAAATAAATCACACACAGAGGTTTATTATTACTTATAAATGCCTGGTCTTAGCTTGGCTGGTTGCTAGCCAGCTTTCCTTAAATTATTTCATTCACCTTTCCCTTTGGGCCTTTTCCTTTTCTTACTTCTGTAATCTTACTCGGTGACTGACTGGGTGGCTGGTTCCTAGCATCCTCTTCTCCTGGTTCTTTTGTTCCTTCTTTTCCATATTTCTCCTTCTTTTTATCCTCTCTTTGCCTGCCAACCCCACCTATCCTTTCTCCTGCCTCGCTATTGGCCATTCAGCTCTTTATAAGACCACCAGGTGTTTTAGACAGGCAGAGAATCCCAGCTTCACAGAGTTAGACAAACGCAGCATAAACAAAAGCAACCCATCTTTACATCATTGAACAAATGTTCCGGAGCATAAACAAATGTAACACGCCTTAAAATAATATTCCCCAACAGCGAACCATGGTTGGGAGTCTAGAAATGAAGCTGTTGTGGGTCATCCCGTGCTGAGGTGGGAGCTGTAGATGGTATGGCTCGCCTTTGAATCAACCATGCTACAGTAAGAAATCCCACACTCACGTTCCTGTAAGACTAGAGAACTCACAGGTTCAGCAAACAGAACTTGAACGCAGTCTCTTCTTTGGTTTGTCTTTGGTGTCTGGAAGAGGTAGATATGTTTCTCTAGCAGGAGTCAGACTGTTCATTTTGAACATTTTAAATTTTGAATACCCATTAAAATGCAATTAGTCAATCATAAAAATAACATAGAGGAGTGGCTAAGAGTTCCATTCCCAGCACCTGTATCAGGTGTCTCACAGCCACAGCTCCAGGACAGACTATAACAAGTATTTCTTTGGACTAGCAGCTCCTAAATAATAACATGGAGATTTTTTTAATTAATTATGAAAGCTTGGCCTTAGCTTACTCTTGTTTCCAATGGACTCTTAAAATTTAAATGAGCTCATTTATATTAATCTTTTACACTAAATTAACCACATGGTTTGTTACCTTTCCTCAGTACCAGACGTCCTACTTCCTCCAGTTCTCACTGGAGAATCTCCCACACCTCAGATCTTTCCCAGAGTTCCTATCTCTCCCTGGAAATCCCACCTAGCCTCTCCTGCCTGGTCACTCAGCTCTGTGTTAAACCAATGAGAAGGTGCCTTAGGCAGGCAAAGAAGGGCAGAGACACATCTCCACACAGTGTACAAAAAGTCTTTAGAAAGGAAGGCTGCAGACATCAGGGGTCTGTGCCTTAGAAGGACGTGTATATGTCAACTTGTCACAGGGCTAAGGATTCTCTGGCCCAAATGTTCAACTTTCTGGTGAGCTGCCTTCTTACAGATTCACAGGGGAGTTGAACCAGAGTCTGGTAGACCTGGAACTCTCTATGTTACCCAAATTGGACTCCAACTCTAGATTCCCTTGCTTCTGTCTCTGCCTTTACTACCTAAATGCTGGGATTGCATGACATGTGTGACCATGCCTATCGCAGAATACTTTTTTTTTTTTTTGAAAAAGGATCTCGCTGGGGCGGTGGTGGTGTACGCCTTTAATCCCAGCACTCAGGAGGCAGAGGCAAGTGGATCTTTGTGAGTTCAAGGCTAACCTGATCTATAAGAACTAGTTCCAGGAGAGGCTCCCAAACTGTTTCAAAAAGCCAAAACAAAATAAAACAAAAAGAAGAAAAAGAAAGAAAGAAAGAAAGAAAGAAAGAAAGAAAGAAAGAAAGAAAAAGGGTCTCTTTGGGTAGTACTGGAACCCACTGTGTAGACCAGGTTGGCACCTCACTAAAAGAGATCCTCCTGCCTCTGCCTCTAAAATGTTGGGTTCAAAAGTGTACACCACTATGTACTTTTCTAATATTATAAATATAGATATAAATACTTTTATTTATAATAAAATACTTTTCTTATACTTTTCTAATATTAGAAAATATTACTTTTCTAATATTAAATAAAATGTAGGCTATTGATAAGAATCCAGTTATTGACTGACTGACTGACTGAGGTAGGGTCTTGCTCATATAGCCCAGACTGGCTTGGAACCAGGTATGTAGCAAAAGCTAGTTTATAATAATCCTTTTGTGACTAATTTCCAAGGACTGAGATTATAGGCAAGTGTCTCTTTTGCTGAGCTCTTCAGATCCCGACAGCGAACTTAATAGGCATTTACTCATGCTGAAGTTCCAGAGTATAGGGCCCAAACTCAGCATGCAAAAAATCAGGAGTGAGAGATCATTAATAGCCAAATCTCCAAATTGTTGAGTTTTAGTCAGTACCATAACGATACACCCCCCCACTTCAATCTTTACAGGAATACTTTGAAACCATCAACTTTTTGTTACTGCTTTCCTTAAACATCTATCTCTTGTCTGTAATGCCAATATTTGCTCGTCGTCCTAAAGCACATTCTATAAAATGTTAGTGTTGCAAATAAAACTCAACAAAAGTCTTTAGTTGAATTTGTTGCAATTTTTTCTTTTGGAACTAAAAACTTTGAAAAGCTTGGTTAGGAGAAACAAAAAGTAGTTTTACGGTGGTGGTGCATGCCTTTAATCACAGCACTCCCTAGGGAGGCAGAGGCAGGAGTCTCTGAGTTCGAGGCCAGTCTAGTCTACAGTGTGAGTTTCATGACAGCCAGGGCTACAAAGAGAAACCCTGTTTCGGGGGGGGGGGGGAAGAGTACTAAGAGGATAATTAATTAAAAAAAAAAATACTGCTTGGAGATTGTTTAGAGTTCACTTTACAGCCTTGAACCACCAAAGCCTGGAGGAGCAGCAACTGGCAGATAGGACGCTACGGCGCGCGCAGCTCCCGGAAGTTCCGCCTTGGGCAATTGCTATTTTGGCGGGCAGCAGTGACGTATGTTGGTCGCGTGTCCCTGCTCCTACCGCCAGTAAACAGTTTGGCTGGCAGGCCCGCGGCTGTGAGCGGCTGCGTCTCGGGACCGTGGGGAACCGCGTGGCGGCCAGAAGCTGGAGCGCGGGCCCTGGAGGGCTGCCTCCACCGCAACGGCGAGACGGAAGTCCAGCGGCGGCCCGCGCCCGGCTTCCGGGCTGTCCCGGGTGCTCCTGGAGCGGCGGTCTCCC